GCCCCACCCCCCCAAGGCCTTTTCCCAGCCACCTTCCCCAAAGCCTGCACCATTGCCTGGGGTTGTTGTGGCCCGAGGGCAGGACCCAGCCCCGAGTCTTGTTGAACTTCATACAACTGGCCTTGGCCCATCAATCCAGCCTGTCCAGATCCCTCTGCAGAGCCTTCCCACCCTCAAGCAGACCAACGCTCCCAGCCAACTCGGTGTCATTTGCAAACTGGCTGAGGGTGCATTCAATCCCCTCCAACAGGAGTTCTGACTTACAGAACCTTGAGCTGGTTGGATTTTCTCCATCACAACTCATCACCTGAGTGAGACTCCCACTTGCATGGACTCTGCTCAAGCCTGAACTCCCTACCACGCTGTAGCTAGACCAAGAAACCCCAGTGCAACAGCCTGGATCAATGGATTCCCCTGCATTTCACCCACTAACACCGTGCATCAGTTGCATGTGCTGCCATCCCAGAAACATTAAGACAAGTTAGCAAGTGCTTTGATTTGAATCACTTACGGTGGCATTTCATAGCATGCAGTGTTAACACCCATGGGCTGTGGGCTCTTGCCTGTGCACTAGGATGGCCCTAAGGACTCACAATATAAAAAGAATAAAAACCAGTGGATTTCCGTTCATTACGTGGTGTCCATGAAGAGAGATCTCAGGAATTGAAAGCACTGAAAAACCACTGCCGCTTGCACATGCAGGCCAGGACCTGAATAGGCTTGGAGGCAGCAGTGTGGGAACAAGGTGGCTTTCTTCAGGCTCTCTACTTGCAAGGCAATGGAGCAGAGCAGCAGGAACCAAAGCAGAGCTGCCACAGCAGGGGCAAAGAGGTGATAACTGCACAGCACTTGCCAAGAACGGGCTCATCCCGAGCTCACACATCCAGGTGAAGAGAAGAAACACAAAAGCCAAGGGACAGATACTTACCCTGGCTCTAGCTTTACTGCTGGTGATGGAATAACCCAACCTGACAACAGGGAAGGGAGGAGAATAAAAGCCCACTGAAACCAATTCTTCCTTGCCAGTGACCTCAGGTAGCCATTTACACCTGTACGTAGCAAAAATAAGATGCTGTTTTGCTGACCTGGGAATGCTTCACTTGGGATTGGTTTGGGTCTAAGAGACGGCAAAAGATAGGAGGCAGCCCCGTGTATATGGGATATTGGCTCCTACAAGTATATGATCTATCTTTTCTCTTTAAAGCAACCTTTTTGTTTTACTGTAGCATTAAACAAACTATCCCAACAGTGCAGGGCAGGACAGGCTCCAGCCCACAACCATTACAAGAGCTTTAACACTATTTTCTGTAAGGGACTGATCTCAGAGCACTTTCCCCAGGTTCAAATGGGACATGTTATGTCAGGATGGGGATCATTTTAGACATGCCAAAGACAGACTCTCACCACAGTCTACAGATGCAACAGAAGTACTGATGGAGGTTAAGAAAAAAAGAGTAGTTGTCACTTCTTGCCTATTCAGCAGTTTGCATCATACCCCAGTTGGCCACTGGATGCTTGCAACAGTCAGGAAAAGAGCCCCACTGGCCCACACTTGCTTAAAGAACATCTGCAGGGTAAGAGGGTCTCAGCTCTCCATATGTCCTGGGTTCAGCTGTAGCAGCCACTTTTCTCCTTCTTAGCCAGGAAAAGAGCCCCACTGGCCCACACTCTTGCTTAAAGAACATCTGCAGGGTAAGAGGATCTCAGCTCTTCATATGTCCTGGGTTCAGCTGTAGCAGCCACTTCAGGAAAAGAGCCCCACTGGCCCACACTTGCTTAAAGAACATCTGCAGGGTAAGAGGGTCTCAGCTCTCCATATGTCCTGGGTTCAGCTGTAGCAGCCACTTTTCTCCTTCTTAGTAGCTGGTGCAGTGCTTAAACCACAGCGCTGTAGAATCATCGACATGTTTT